CACAGTACACATTATGCACGATAAATGTTTCCGTAGTATGCTGTCACATGACAGTTATTAACTTGGAAACCAAAATTCATATTTTGCAGTTTGTGTGCAAAAATGTTGAAACCTTTGGCAAACCAAAAATAAAATGAGTGAAGAAGTAGATGTTAACATTTAAAGGGGTCATATGATGTTGCTAAAAAGAACATTATTTTGTGTATTTGATGTAATGAAATGTGTTTATGCGATTTAAGGTAAAAAAACAAACAAATTTTTTTCCACATACTGTACATTATTGTTTCTCCTTTATGCCCGCCTTTCTGAAACGCGTCGATTTTTACAAAGCTCATCGGTCTGAAAAGCGAGGTGTGCTCTGATTGGCCAGCTATCCAGTGCGTTGTGATTGGCCGAATACCTCAAGCGTGTGATGGAAATGTTACTTCCCTTACCATACTGTTGATGCCTTGTCCCGGCTGGAGACAAAAACATTCAAACCCATTATAAGTGAGGCATTTGTTGCATCCAGTGGGGACATAATTACTTATTATAATTACTTATACTGACGTTTTACGCGTATCATTGCATCGCGCCGCGTAAACATAAAACCATGTCTGCATTTGTGATCAGAGAAATGACAAACTACAAGCGCTACTCTACACTGCTCAAAACTCGTGTTTGAATCGTCAGTGGCAAATCCTTTAAATATAAAAAGCGTACTTGCATTCTGTGAGTCAGAACAGCCGGCATTGTAGTCTATTCTACCAGGATCAGGAAACAGTCCTCCATAAAATGCGCTGGACACATCTGAATATTTGGGTTGAACTGTTCTGGAACAGTGTTGTAAATACAACTTAACCACTGATTTCTAGTCGTGTACTCTTTTGGAAGGCCAAACAAAGTAGTTTCGCTTTCACAACGAAACACACGGGGGGCTAGAGTGAGCGGAGGCAGGTGGGCTTGAGAACGGTGCGGCCGGCGGATTCGTCGAAGGAGCGGCCGGCGGTCTTGCGGCAACCACACGTGATGACCCCGGGCTGGACTCTGCTTCGTCCACGGTGAAAGCCGATCCGGCGATCCACAGCGTGAAGTTGATATATTTCCTCAGCGACCAGCACGGATCAGCTCTAGGCATGATGAAGTGGATATCGTCCTCTTTTGGAAGACCAAACAAAGTAGTTTCGCTTTCACAACAAAACACACAGCGTCTCGACATGGCGGCAGCAACAATACTACAGCGAGAATAAAAGTTACGCCTTCTTTGTTTGCGTGAACATTTGGGCGGCATTATGCAAATCTTCCCACATCGTGACGTAGACATGTGGGGGCGTGTTAGAACGAGCCGTTTTAGGTAGGCGTGGTTGACTCTTAACTTTTATAAAGAATACCTCTTTGGATTTGAGACTTTAGTCTTTGCAACTTTTCAGATCTTCTTTATGCACCAAGAGCTTGTAACCCAAAGAGAAAGGAAAAATTTAAATTGCATCATATGACCCCTTTAAGAATGCACTGATATTGAAATTCTGACACTTATTATACTGATAAGATATTAAAACGCTATACTATTTGACCTAAATTATATAAATATTACACCAAAGACTTTTTTCTTTTAAATGCAACAAGTGAATTTGAAGGTGCAGTATGTAATATTGACAGCTAATTCAAAATATTGCAGAGCCTCCTCTTCAGACTTGACTGACGCTCATGCAGGTTGCCAGATTGAGGACACGCAACAAGAGCGCAATTGACCATGGAAGGAGACGAGCCTTGCACTGTAAGCTGATGAGATGATTTATCAACTTGTCAACTTGAGTATTCCTCTGGTTGTAGAGCTTTTTAGATGGATGCTGAGGTTTTTAGGTTGGGCAGAATCTGCGATCTCTGATCCAGTGCATTTGCTGGCTTCTACGGCTTCATTACGTTGTGTTTTCAGCCAACTGGCAACCCGGAGTTTCAAAATGCTATCTGGTAAATCGGCTGTGGGTGGAATCACACAGACCAAAACAAAAAAAGACATTCCGACATTGAACACACATTTCAAAGTAGACTGGCTGTAGAATTGCTTTTCATGTTTCTTATATATCTGTAAACATGGTAGTTTTTGGTTTTAGTACAGTTTTAGTACAAAAATTACATACAGCACATTTAGGCATCACAACATTATAACATACAGTATGGAAATGGATATTAATTTTGAGATTTGTTAATTACTGCATTTAACAGTGCTAAGTAGCCTTTTCACATTTCTGTGGTTCTGGTAATCATAGTTGGGTAAACTTCTATAGTGGTGAATGGAAACTAGGGATGAAATGGTTACCGGTTTGACGATAAATTAGGGTGACCATACGTCCTCTTTTTGGACCTAAAAAAATGCGTCCGGCCGGGATTTCTAAATCACCCAAAACGTCCAGGATTCGGCTTTTGCTTTCTACAGTCGCAATTCATTGTATGCGTTTTTGTATTAAAGCCTTGTGTGGGACTGTTTTCTTAATCACTCTCCCGCAAACATTCTTAATATTGAATATAGATTAATTATCGCATGTCGGGGAGTCAATATTGTGCTGGATGTAAGTTAGGGTTGCCAAATCCGCATTTTTTTCCACGGAATTGGACTGTTTTTAAACTATTTTGGTGGGTTGATTTTCTCCCGTGGGTTAAAGTTTTGAAATATTGCATAAATTACATTTGACTGAAATGCTTGTATTGAAACATTTTGCATTCTACCAAAGATAAAACAGTGGTAGATATTAAGTTTTGTGAAGGATGGTAACTGTGGTAGGAAGCCTTTTAGCTGTGTTTATGATCATAACAGTGACTGTAAAATATGTACTTTAGATTACAATTACATTTAGAAAATGACATATTTTGAGTTTTGATATGGAATTTGGTCATCACAATCACCTTCCAATGGTAATCTAAATGTAAAAACCCAATAAATTAAATGACAAAAATCCTTAATATCGGCTAACTGTTATGGTACCGATATATTGTGCATACCAACTGAAAATCACAGCTAATCTTACTTCTGTTTCATTGATCTCTCTGGGAAAAGAAGGTCAGGTTGAGCATATTGCACTGTGGGATAACCTCATTCCTTGCAGTGGTTCTCAACTGGTGAGCTGCAATTCAAGGGAGTTTGAGTGGTGGAAACAAAGCTAAATACAAATACTAACCCTATAAAGCCTGCTGTTTCATATTTGATATGCAAAAAGGCATTACTTGAAAGACTAACCTGATCATCCATAGATACTTTTTTTTTTTTTTAGAAAAATCATGTTAAACCTGTTCCATAAATAAACTCTCATTTCAAAAATGAATTTTTTTCTGACTGTTTCATCTTAACATGGTTAAAGTGCAACTACATAATGATGCATGGTTAGGACAGCAAAATAAATAGTCTAAGAAAGTTTTAGAGTGACAAACAAGCACACATCAGTGCCAAGTATGTGGAGATGATGCTCACTTAATGCAGGTGAAGCACATACTGCTTTGAGCTCATTCACACGATGTGTTTTTGTGCTCCATCTGTGTTATTTTTAAATGACTGAGCTATGTAAACATGCATCAGATGGACATATTTGGCCATTGCACCACATTTGTCAAGTAAAAGATAAAACAGTGGTAGATATTAAGTTTTGTGAAGGATGGTAACTGTGGTAGGAAGCCTTTTAGCTGTGTTTATGATCATAACAGTGACTGTAAAATATGTACTTTAGATTACAATTACATTTAGAAAATGACATATTTTGAGTTTTGATATGGAATTTGGTCATCACAATCACCTTCCAATGGTAATCTAAATGTAAAAACCCAATAAATTAAATGACAAAAATCCTTAATATCGGCTAACTGTTATGGTACCGATATATTGTGCATACCAACTGAAAATCACAGCTAATCTTACTTCTGTTTCATTGATCTCTCTGGGAAAAGAAGGTCAGGTTGAGCATATTGCACTGTGGGATAACCTCATTCCTTGCAGTGGTTCTCAACTGGTGAGCTGCAATTCAAGGGAGTTTGAGTGGTGGAAACAAAGCTAAATACAAATACTAACCCTATAAAGCCTGCTGTTTCATATTTGATATGCAAAAAGGCATTACTTGAAAGACTAACCTGATCATCCATAGATACTTTTTTTTTTTTTTAGAAAAATCATGTTAAACCTGTTCCATAAATAAACTCTCTCATTTCAAAAATGAATTTTTTTCTGACTGTTTCATCTTAACATGGTTAAAGTGCAACTACATAATGATGCATGGTTAGGACAGCAAAAATAAATAGTCTAAGAAAGTTTTAGAGTGACAAACAAGCACACATCAGTGCCAAGTATGTGGAGATGATGCTCACTTAATGCAGGTGAAGCACATACTGCTTTGAGCCCATTCACACAATGTGTTTTTGTGCTCCATCTGTGTTATTTTTAAATGACTGAGCTATGTAAACATGCATCAGATGGACATATTTGGCCATTGCACCACATTTGTCAAGTAAAAAAAACCCTTACCTTCCACATTTGTTTTGCTCCATCTAACTGGATCTTCCATTTCAGCGTGCGCCATGTTAATAAATTTGCACGCTCTTAAAAATAAAGGTTCCAAAAGGAGGCTGCGAAGCAATAGAAGAACCATTTTTGCTTTATCAAAGAACCTTTCACTTAACCTTTTTCTTAAAAGAACCTTTTTTTTCTTAGTGCGAAGAACATTTTAAAAATCCAAATAACATTTTCCACTATAAAGAACCTTTTGTGGAACAGAAAATTTCCATGAATGTTAAAGGTTCTTCATAGAACCATAGATGCCAATAAAGAACCTTTATTTTAAGATGGTTATTGGTTCATGTAGTTATATTAACAAATTTACCGGTTTCATTTTAAAGACATTTTTGTTTACTTCAACACAACATGCAATTTTGGTGAAGTGATGAGTTATGTGAAAGAGAAAACTGCTGAGAACCTTCTTTAAAAAATAAAGGGTTCACTGGGAAACCTGTTTTTAAGTGTATAGTAGGCGCACTGCATATTCTGCACAGTATGCATACTATATACTATATACCAAGATAGTAAGAGTAGCATGTTAGTATGTTATTCTGAACATAGCCAGAGCACAGCATCACCACCTCACCACCTGACTGCTGTAGTCCTCCGTCACCCCAGTTAACTCTGCGTCTTTTCGTTCATCGTCCTCCTGTTGTTGAATCTGTGAAGCTTTCTGTTCCTTCATTCTCCTGCGTTGCTGTCGTTTCCTCTCTCTCTCCTCCTGCCGCTCCTGATGGTGGCAGTACTGCACGCGCCGTGAGAAAAGCTCCCGCGCATATCCGTACAACTGCATGTCTAGCGCGTTCAACTCCTCTATGCGCCTCCGGGTGGACGGCCCAACAGTGACGCCGGCCGCCCGCGTCCCATTAATCTGAGTGAAGGCGGTGATAAAGTGCAAGCCGAACGTCCTCTCAAAAAGGAACTGTGTTTTGCGCTGGAACTCAGTTAGGCCGAAGAATGCCATGTGAAGCAGGTTGCGCTTGGCGCTGCTGAGGAGCAGCTCGGCACGCCGTTCTTCGCTCATGGAGGACAGGTTGTAGCAGCCCACCAGGCTGAGATCGGCCAGCATGCGAGTCTGCCGGTTGTTGGCCAGGTTCGAGGGACAGGCCATGAACTCCTCCAGAGACACGCCGGTCCAGTCTTCGCTGCTGTAGCAGGCCGGCAGCTCGTCTGGAGTGGGAGGACGGCCGTCGCACATGTGCAGTGCCGTCTTCCACGTGGCGCCGCGCTGCACGTGCTTCCACTCGCTCAGGTAACGCGACACAGGGTCCCGCAACAGCGTGATGTAGTAGAAGTTCCTGCGAAGAGAACACAGAAGGTGAGGAATCTAGAATAATAAAAAAAATTGCTAAGAAATTGCCCTCCAGCATTTCTTTTTTTTCTCCCAGAACAACAAAAAAGCTCCAGTCACATTTCTGTCATTACATGGAAAAGATATGATATTCTATAGAATTAAAATTCTGCAAACCTGTAGCATATTTTCATATACTACTGTT